TGGCACATGTCAGCTATTGCCGCTTTTTAAGGCTGAATAATAGTCCATCGTGTGGATCTATCACATTTTGTTTATCCATTCATCCCCTGGTGGTCGTTTTAGGTATTTCTTGAGTAGCTACTTTGTGCCACTCCCTGGGCGAGGAGTCGGGGATACCACTGAGCAAGCCGCAGCCTCAGAAGCTTGCAGGGGAGGATTGGGAAGGGTGGGTCAGGGACTCACGGCCCATTTTCCCAGGTGGGGGGCGCAGGGAGCAGGCCCCTGTTCCTAGCTGCAGAGCCTGGATGAGGTGCAGGGAAGTGCAGCTCCGGCTTTGACTGGGGGAGGGCCGTGTCGATGATAGTCCAGACCAGAGGCTTTATGAGAATATACTGGGTTCTGTTAACAAGGAGGCTGGATACCCAAAGAACCAAAAACAGAGACTCAGACAGATATGTGTGCACCCATGTTCCAGAGGCATTATTCACAACAGCCCAAAGGTGGGACCAACTCAGCAGTCCAACAGCAGATGGTGGGTATACAAAGTGTGGTCTGTCCGTGCAGGGGAATATTATGCAGCCTTCAAAAGGAATCATGACACAGCCTACAACATGGATGGACCTTGACAACATGAGTGAAGTGAAATAAATGAGACACAAAAGGACAAATATGTATGATCCACTTATATGAGGTTCTTACAGGAGCCAAATTCAGATAGAGAGTAGAACAGAGTCTACGGGGGGAGGGGTGTTCGGGTTTAACAGGCATGGAGCTGCTGTCCAGGTCATTGACAAAGTTCTGGGAATAAGTCGTGGAGATCCCACACTGTTGTGGATTAAATTCATCAAAACAGACTCTAACATGGTAAAATGATCACAGCCTAGTCTTACGTTACTACAGCAGGGAGAAGAACGAGGTGGAGGGACGTGTAAGCCAGAATGTAAGATTCCCCCAGCCTGGGAGCCAGGGAGAGAGGGGCTGACCTGGGGGAGAAGGCATGATGCTGTGGCAGGGGCCCAGCCCCCAGAGCTAACCTGGTATTTTCTCCTCCGAGGAGGGGGACAAAGGGGGGCAGTTTGTCCCCTCTTCAGCTCCCCTTTCTCAAGGGCTTTCCTAAGCTGGATTCATAGCAGCCAGGAACAGTAAAAAGAGGCAGGTGATGCTGTGTGACCTTGGATAAGTTACTTAACTTCTCTGAACATGACTGGTACACTTAAAAAAATATATGGCTTCTTCTTGCTCTGTTTATTGACGAGAGTGTAGCAATCTTGATTGTGTATGTGAAACCTCTTATTTTTCTGTTAAGAACTTCCCTTTCCTGTTAATAGCATTTGATGAAATTTGGATGTAAAACAAAACAAAAGAAAAAATCAGGTGACAGGGCCTTGGGAAAGAGTGAGGTCCCAGTCCCAGGCAGGGGTCACTGGGGGAGGTGGATAGGACACAGGTCAGGGGGAGGCAGCTGTGGACAGTGGTCTGCCCATCATTGTGGAGGGGCCTGCAGGCCAGTCTAGGGTGGCCGAGCCTTCCTCCCTTCCCGCTGCCCCCCCAGGGGAGACTCTCCGGACCCCATCCATTCCACAAGTATTGACTGAGTGCCCCTCACCACAGGGCTCTGGAGGTCCAGTGGGGATCCACACAGGTCGCTGCCACCTGTGAGCTCACGGTCTGTAGGGGGACACAGACCTCGATTAAATACCACAGAAAGAAGCAAGTGTGACATTACAGGGTTGATCCGGGTCAGTAAAGGCCTCCTGTTGATCGATTCCAATGACATTTGAGACAGTCCCTCTGGGGCCTCAGTTTCCCAGTTTGCAAGAGTGGGTTGGACTAGAACTCTGTGCTATGTTACCGTTTGCCACATGTCGCTATTTAAATGTATCGATCAAAATTAGCCCTGGCCGGATTGGCTCAGCGGTTAGAGCGTTGGCCTGCGGTCCGGAGAGACCCGGGTTCGGTTCCCGCTAAGGGCATGTACCTTGGTTGCAGTTTGTCCCCGGCCCTGGTTGGGTCGTGCGGGTGGCAGCCACTCGATGTGTCCCTTTCACATCGATGTTTCTCTCTCTCTCTCTCTCTCTCTCTCTCTCTCTCTCTCTCTCTCTCCCTCCCACTGTATCTGAGCAAAAAATGGAAAAATGTCCTCGGGTTAAGATGATAAAAAAAAAAAAAATTAAAATTAAAAAAATGTCAAGTCTTCAGTTGGACCCGCTGCATTTCAAGTGCTCAGAAGTCACGTGTGATAACAGTTGGCGGTTCCTCAAAAAAGTGTAAGTGCTGTGCCCATGTGACCCAGCCTTTCCACTTCTGGGTTGATGCCGAGAGAAAGCAGGGTCTCAAGGAGGCGTCACAGCCCTTCACGGGGGTGGGGGTGGGGTATTCAGACAGAGGCAGCCCAGCAGGTGAACGGAGGAGCAGGTGAACGGAAGGTGTGGCTGGACCCCCCCCACCCCACGGTGGGCTGTCACTCAGCCTGAGCCAGGAAGGAAGCCCCGCCCCCGGCAGCATGGCTGGGCCTTGAGGACACTGGGCAGTGACATAAACATGACAGAAAAGGGCAGATACTGTGTGATTCTTCCGTGAGGCACCGGATGGTCAAATTCACACACACAAAGTGGGAGGGAGGTGGCCAGGGGCTGGGGGAGGCGTGGGGAGTTAGGGTGTAGTGGGCGGTTTTATTTAGGAAGGGGAGAAAGGGCTGAGACCACGGGGCTGGTAGACGACAGTGTGACCCTGACTCAGGCCGCGGTTAAGGTGATACGTTTTACGTTTACATGTATTTTACCACGATTCTTAAAAAGGTCCTATGTGGCTGCCATATTGGACAGCGAGGCAGAGGATTTTCCATCCTAGAGACAGGACTGCGGCCAGCCCTTCCGCCCGTCTGTCCGTCCCAGCTGGCGCACCCGGGGCCCTCCACCCCGGGCCCTCCACCCGGGGCCCTCCACCCCGGGCCCTCCACCCGAAGCCCTCCACCCGGGGCCCTCCACCCGGGGCCCTCCACCTGGGGCCCTCCACCTGCGCTGCTGGCTCCGCGGGGAGGGCTCACCGTGTCCGGCCTCCGCCTGCTGCCGCCTTCGCACGTGGGGGTCCTGGGGGGGCCCGCAGCTCGCCTGGCTCTCAGGTCACTGCCTGGTGGCCGAGGGGGCCCCCGGGGGAGGCGAGCGGACCCACCTGTGCAGCAGGAGGGGCTTGTCGTGTCTCCAGAGTTACTTCTGGAGCAGGCCCGGTGGGCAGGATGTTTGCTTTGGTTCGGGTTTCTGTCCTGGAGGGCGGTGCTGTGGCGGGGCCAGCTGGAGCGGCGGCTCCCGGCCGTGCAGGGAAGTCGGGGTTCGTGGTCTCCCCCAGGACTGCTGGGGAGGGGGCGGAGGAACTCGTGGGGGAGGGGTGGAGAATGCGCCCAGACCCTCGGCAGATGGAAGCAATTTCCAGTCACGTGGGCAGGGTGGAGCTGCCGCCTGAGAGGGGCCCCTGGCCACATGTGGGCCTGATGCAGCTCTGCCTTGGTTTACTTAAAGGTGCAGGCCCAGGGAGAGGATTTCGGAAGGGGCAGGTTGTGCAGGGAGGCGGCCCCTGGCCTCCTCCCCGGTCCTGGATGGTGGGGGTCCCGCCTGGGCAGTGTGGACCCTGTGGGGCTCCCTGGGTTTTGTGCGCATTGTGTTGTGTTCTCACCCCCTTGGTTCTCTGGTGGGAATGCTTGAGAAAGGGAAGTGGGCGAGGGGCTCCTGAGATACCCGCCCACAGCCCTGGCATCCTTCCTCCCTGGAGGCCGGTGCAGGCTGGGCTGGGGCCTCCTGTCAGCCCCTCCACCCCTTGTCCCAGGGCAGCGGGAGTGGGCATGCGGCTGCCGGGCATCGCTGGGCCCCCTGGGGCGCGGGCGGGTAGAGTTGGTTATTTCCCCAGGAAGTGGAAACGCAGTTACGAAAACTCGGCAGTGACCTTCTGGCCTGGCACCCGTGTCCTTGGCTCGTGGAGCCAGGGCTGGAGTGGTGGTTCAAAGGGCATGGTGGGGGCAGCTTGGGCGCCCTGGCAAAGGCCCCGTGGGGCAGCTGGGGGGTTGACCAAGGAAAGGTGTGTGTGGGTGCACTGTGGCACAGACTTTGGTGGGGAGCCCGAACTGGACTGGCGTACCTCAGGTCCCCCGTGGGCACCCCCCACCCCCAGCCTCCGACCTGGGCATGTGGGCTCGAGGGCCCCAGGGGAGGGGCTGTGAAAGGAAGAGGTTTCTGACCTGCAGACCGGAAGCTTGAGTGGTTCTGAGGAGCTCAGCCCCACCTGCCTGCCCGGGGGTGACCCGAGAGCAGAACCTCATTCTGGCCTGTGGGCGAGGGGCACTCAGGTGCTGGGCTGTCAGGGAAGGTGGCCACCTGGCTCCAGTCCCAGGGAGCAGGGCCGGTGCCCGGGAGCTGCGGTGCCCGGGAGCTGCGGTGCCCGGGAGCTACTTGCCCCAGAACGGCAGGCTCTGCATCCAGGCTCCTCCCTCCAAGGAGCCCACTGGGCACTCCCCCTGCCCAGGGCTGTCGGCGGGAGCCTGGGGTCGAGCACCCCTCAGCCAGGAGTGGCAGGACGGACAGGGCTGGTCCCCCTCCAGCTCACAGGGCTGTCCTCTCCTTGTCCTGGCTCGCGCTGCTGGACCTGAGCGCCCTGCAGCGGGGGTGGGTCTCTCTGGGCAGGTGAAGATGGAGAGGCCCACCTGAGCACCCGGGCACTGCCTCCTCGGCGCAGTTCTCCAGGGTGAAGCTCAGGTGACGAGAAGATGGGGGCAGACTGGTGGAGACGGAGACGGGTGTGAGGGTCTGGTGGCGCTCTGCGGGCCCGGCCACGTGCTGCCAACCGCCGGTGCCTTTTCCGTGGCACCGTGGCGAGGGGCTTCAGCTCCACGTGTTCCTCGGGGATCTCTTGGGCCGCTGAGCCTCAGTTTCCCCATCTCAGAAATGAGGCTCATGCTGGGGGCCGCCTGAGGATGTCGGTGCTTGGCAGGCACCTGCCGATGACCCCTGACCCCTCTGCTCTTCTTTCTGCAGCCACCGAGGCGGCTCCCGGCTGCGCTGGCGACATGGCCGACACCCCCAGAGACGCCGGGCTCAAGCCGGCACCCGCGACCCGGAATGAGAAGGCCCCCGTGGACTTCGGCTACGTGGGGATCGACTCCATCCTGGAGCAGATGCGCAGGAAAGCCATGAAGCAGGGCTTCGAGTTCAACATCATGGTGGTCGGTGAGTCCCGCCCCGGGCCAGCAGACCTGCTGCGGGCGGTGCAGGGGCACTGTGTGCATGTCACGGGCCTGCCGAGGTCCCAGCTCCTCAGCGGTGCTGGCCGCCCGGTCGGGAAACCTCAGCTCTTGGCCAGCGGCCCCCCTTTTAGCTTCCGCTGAGGCGTAGGCCCCCTTGGTCCCACTTGAGCCTGGCCTGGGAGTCCTGTGCCGGCCGTCCCCACGCCCAGCAGCCTGCTGGAGGCTTCCTGTCGGCCCTGACACTGGGAGGGTCATGGGTCCTCGAGACGTTGCAGAAGCGGTAGAGACGATGCTAAAACGAACAGTGATAATGGGAGAAACTGTGAAGTGTGTCCCAGGCGTAAGGGGCCGTGGCTGGAACCTCGGACGTAGCTCCTGGCCTGAGCTTAGCCAGGACACAAACAAGGTGGGCAGGGGGGAGGGAGGAGTGGGGAGGGCCGGTCCTGGGCTGCTACACGGCAGGTCCAGGGATTCCCGACGTCAGCCTCCTGTCTCCCGGGAGCCATACTTTTCCTCGAAAGGTCATCCAAGTTGGAAAATCAGTCAAAGTTCATTGTTTGGAACATGCTGGTGAGCATGGCTTCAGGCAACTCAGTGCAGGGACGGGCAGAGCAGCGGGGCTTGAGCCTGCAGTCGTGTGTGTGTGTGTGTGTGTGTGTGCGCGTGCATGCGTGCACACGCGTGGGCATACGTGTGCGTGGGCATGTGTACACAGTGCTAAGTCATGCCTGGTGCAGGTAGGCATCTTGTAAGTGTCTGTGGCCATTCCCTCTGTTGACCCTGTGGTAGAAGGTTGTGGCCGGGCCCCTGGCGCCGGGCCGCTGGGTTCTACTCCCCACTGTGGGCTCGGTGCCTCGGTGTCTCCCTCCGTCAGATGGGAGAATGAGGGCACCTGGTTGTGAGGTTACATTGCCGACCAGGGTGGTGCCGGGCACAGTGAGCGAGAGCAGGAGCGGGACCTGCTGGGCGGCAGCAGCGAGGCCGAGCCTAGCTCCGGAGGATTCCGAGCAGGAGGGACCTTGGTCGCAGCTGGGCCCTCTTCCCTCCTGCCGTAGGAGGGGACTTGGGGTAGGCACACAGCAAGGTCCGAGTGCTTGAGGCTCAGAGCTGCCCAGGAGCCACGAGGGGCAGGCCTGGTGTGCTGGGGTTCACTGGAAGGTCCAGCCCTCAGCTGCAGGGTCTGTCCCTGCCCCGGCAGCAAGGCACAGCTGTCCACCGTCTGGGCCCATCAGGCCTCCTGTGGCAGGAAGTGACCCAGGGACCTCTCTCCGAGGCTAGAGTCACCGGGCTGCATGCTGGGAGCCCGGCCCCCGGGTCTTTGGACCAGAACCCAGCAGCGCAGGCAGCCTGGCTGGGGTTGGACTATGGCAGGTGCCCAGACCTCCCTCCGGGGTCCTGGGGTGGGGGACTCTGAGCGGAGCTTCTCCTTTGAACCAGCTAAGAGAGGAGCCAGCCCCCCTCCTCTGCCCCGCCCCACACCCCGCTCTGTGTCTAGGCCCCTCTTGGAGGGAGCCTTAGAGCTGACGGGGTGGTTGGACCCCTGTGGTCAGAGGCATGGGGTCCACCCTGCACTGTGAGAGCTTGATGGCTGCCTGGCTCCACCTGACCAAGCCCCCCACTGAGGGGTGCTGGGGGTGCTGAAGGGCGATGCCCAGACACTGCAGTGTCTCGTAAATCTCCTGTCCGGAGCCCCACCGACCCCGCTGACGGTCCATTCTGTCCCCAGGGCAGAGCGGCTTGGGGAAGTCCACCTTGATCAACACCCTCTTCAAGTCCAAAATCAGCCGGAAGTCTGTGCAGCAGCCCCCCTCGGAGGAGCGCATCCCCAAGACCATCGAGATCAAGTCCATCACGCACGGTGAGGCCCCTGGGGCTGGGTCACACCTCCCTCCTTCCTGAGGCTGGGTACCGGGGTGCCGAGCCAGGACCCCTCTCGAGCTGGACACCTGCAGCAGCACCTCTGGGCACGTCCACTTGGGTCAGGGGTGAAGGGTCAGCTCTCCAGGACCCCTGCGGCCCAGTCAGGCTGAGCTCATAGACACTTAGTTTTCCACTGGAGATCAGGGCAGCGCCGTCCTGGTAAATGTCGCCAGCCCCTGCTGGATGTCCCCGGTGGAGGCCCTCATGTCTCTGGCATAACCTGGGGTGTCATCGCTGGTCACCCTGGGGTGCCCCAAGCAGGCCTCGTTGGGGCAGGGCTGGCCAGTGGGGGCTCCTGGTACCAGGCGGGGCCTGGACTGCTGGGTGTGGCGGGGTCCTGGGCTCCCCCTGAGCTCGGCGGGTGCTCTGATCCGTGCAGATATCGAGGAGAAGGGCGTCCGCATGAAGCTGACGGTTATCGACACGCCGGGCTTTGGGGACCACATCAACAATGAGAACTGGTAAGGGCTCCGGGGCCCTGCGGACATGGGAGCCGCTCCTCAGGGCGGAAGAGCTCTAGTGGGGTGCGGGCCAAGCCTGGAGGAGGGGTCCCACAGTGTGGGCCCGAGCAGAGCAACCCTGGGAATCTTGCCCTCCCCCTACCCACCCGAGACTGAGGTCTACGTGAGGCTGTGGTCCTCGCTCAGAAAGTCATGCACCCGTGTGCACTGGAAGCCGGGGCTGGGATCTGGGAGTAGGCGACCTGCTGGGGGCGCTGGGGAGCTGCCCCCGAGCTTGGTGGGGGGCGTGCAGGCTGACCGGCCCCGCACCCCGCAGCTGGCAGCCCGTCATGAAGTTCATCGACGACCAGTACGAGAAGTACCTGCAGGAGGAGGTCAACATCAACAGGAAGAGGCGCATTCCCGACACACGCGTCCACTGCTGCCTGTACTTCATCCCGGCCACCGGCCACTCGTACGTGCTACCTGCGCACGGGCTGCATCCTGGGGCGGGGCGCGGAGGGGCGGGGCCTGCCTGTGACCTCTCACCCTCCCTTTCCACGGGCATGGAGAGCTGAGGACCTGGATGGCTGAGCTGCTCCCAGAACTCCACGGGGCGGAGGCGGGTGGCCCTCCCTCGCGCCTGCCCCCACTCCGCCAGCCACAGGCTCACGCACAGTGTCCACTCCAGCCTCAGGCCCCTGGACATCGAGTTCATGAAGCGCCTAAGCAAAGTGGTCAACATCGTCCCGGTCATTGCCAAGGCCGACACACTGACCCTGGAGGAGAGGCTGTACTTCAAACAGCGGGTAGGGCTCCACCGCTGCCTGGTCCTGGCCCCACCTCGGTCCTCGGTCCCAACGTGCCAGGATTTGATTAGACGGAAGAGAAAGTTGGAAAGGGGTGATCTCCATCCAGGGGACAGTCTCTGCCCGGGAGACAGGTGGCTGCCTGTTCCTTCTCTGCCTTGGTCCCAGTGCCGGCGGTGTGCGGAGGGGTGTCTGAGCAGGTGGGCAGCCCTGGGCCACTTCTGCCTATCTGGGCAGGACCACCTGGGAACTTTATTTATTTTTTTATCCTCACCCGAGGACATTTTTGCATTTATCTTCAGATAGAGTGGGAGGGAGAGAGGAGGGAAGAGAGAGAGAAACATCAATGTGAGAGAGACACATTAACTGGTTGCCACCCACACAACCCCAACTGGGGCCAGGGACAAACTGCAACCGAGGCACACGCCCTTAGTGGGAACCGAACCCAGGACTCTACTGTCCGCAGGCTGATGCTCTAACCGCTGAGCCAAGCCGGCCAGGGCCCACCTGGAAACTTTCAAACCCAGGTGCTAGGCCCCAGCAGAGCCTGTGCCCAGTGGGCGTGAGTGAGGAGGCCCTTCTGTCTCATCCCCCGAGCTCGGGCCCGGTGCCTGGGATTCCCCAGCATGCTTTGGGGAGCACAGTCCCCTTGCCGTGGGTGTGTCTGGGGAGGGAAGGGAGTCAGCAGCCTCCATGTTGCACACAGTGTGAGTCTGTGCTTGGGCCAGAAATGGCAGCTGTTCGAGGGGTGCACCTATTGAACTTCTGAGTTGGGCGCATGTCACTGCAAAAGGCGGTGACAGATGAACTCAGCAGGTGCGCGGGCTGCAGAGGGGACCATGCAGGCATTTGGGGCCACATGAGACAGGGGTTCTAGATAGAGCTCAGGACGGGGGACTCAGCAGCCCTGAGTGTGACGAGCTGGAGAGGAGACAAGGAGACACTCCGGACAGGGACCCGGGTCCCTCGGGCCACAGGTCTGGCAGGCAGGTCTGCCACTGTCCCTGCACCACCCGGGGGCACAAGAACTGGGGACTATCAAGATCATCAGCCCCCCAGAGCCTGCCCTTGACCCCAAGCCTGGGGCCCCTGACACTGGAGGTCATGGCAAGGGCAGATGCCATTGGGCAGGTCCCCACATTTCTCCCCTCTGGACTCCCAGATCACTGCCGACCTGCTGTCCAATGGCATCGACGTGTACCCCCAGAAGGAGTTTGACGAGGACGCGGAGGACCGGCTGGTGAATGAGAAGTTCCGAGTGAGTGACTCGCCCTGGGCGCCGAGCCTGCTGGAGGGTGTGGCCGGGGTCCTCCTGTTCCGTCCAGGGTCTGGGGAAAGCGGGTGGGATGGCCTTGGGCCATGAGAATGCACTCTGGGCCGGGGGGGCTGGGAGTCCCAGTGTCCACAGGGAGCCCCCAGGGCCTTGGTTTTGGGACCCCAAGCTCAGGCGGCTCCTCCGGGGGCCCACACGTGACCCACGCTGCCTGCCCCCCCCAGGAGATGATCCCGTTTGCCGTGGTGGGCAGTGACCACGAGTACCAAGTGAATGGGAAGAGGATCCTCGGCAGGAAAACCAAATGGGGCACCATCGAAGGTAATGGCGAGCTGCTGTCCGGGGCCGCTGGGCGGATCGCGAAATACAGCCGCCTCTGCCTCGGGAGATGCCTGTCGAGGCCTGAGCTGGGCCCTCTCAGCACCTCATCCCTTGCGTTGCCCCCCACCCAGCCCTTTGGGGAAACGGGAAGGGGTAGGCCACTTGTCCAGGAGCCACAACCATTGGCTGGTACAGCTGTGCCTCCCCTGGATCCCCACGGCGGGGAATACCCAGGAAGGGTCCACAGGCATGCTGAGTGGCCCTGGACAGAGGGAACCACCTCTGTTGGCTGGGCTGTAGCTCCGTCCAGCTCTGAGAACCAGAGGCTCCCCGCCGTAGTAATTCCCGGGACCGCCACATCTCAGTGGCTTGTGGCTGTCGTAACCGTTAGCACAGACTGGGTGCCTTCGGATAGAAATGTCTTCTCACGGATGTGGGGGCCAGAGTCCAAAACCAAGGTGTCAGCAGGGTCTGCTCCTTCTGGAGGTTTGAGGGAGAATCTTCCAGGCCTTTTTCCTGGCGGCTGCCGGCCATGCTTAGTGTCCTCGGCTTGTGGGCGAATCCCTCCACTCCGCTGCACCGCCCGCCTTCTGTGTCTGTCTTCCTCTCTTCTTGGGGAGCCGTTTGTCATTGGCTTTAGGGCCCACCTTTCTTTCTCCACATCACTCCCTTTTCGCAAGGACTGAGGGTTGGGAGTTGGACATAGTTTGGGGGACACAGTGCCCCCCATTACGGGCCCGGATGGGCCTGAGCCTTTCATTACTTTCCTCCTCTCTGCTCCGCCCTGTGTAGAATGGAGGAGGGGACAGGGCAGACGAAAAGGGGCCACTGTTCACTGGAAGAGAAGGAGGCAGAACGCTTGAGCCCCGCTGCAGCCCCGAGCCCGGCTCTGGGAAATCGGGCAAGTGCCCGGTCCCCCAGGGCCTCAGTTTTTACCCTCTGTAAAATGGGTATTGTGTTCCAAGACTGCAGTCAAGTGAGAGAATGTGCCAAGACCGTTGGTGTTTTGGGGCAGCATGTTTTTAAAGAAGTTGGAAGAGCCCTGGCGGGTTTGGCTCAGCGGTTGGAGCGTCGGCCTGCGGACCAGAGAGTCCTGGGTTTGGTTCCCGCTAGGGGCACGAACCAAAAAGAAAGAAAGAAAGAAAGAAGCTGGAAGTGAAAACTGTAGGCATTGAGCACACCCCCGGCTCGTGGTACGGGGATTATTACATCCACGCGGCTCCCTGTAGCTGTCTGCCCCTCGGGCAGAAAACATGCCCACGCTCCAGAATCCATGTGCCCACCTGCACAGCAGTGACCTTTCTCGGGGGCCCACGTGAGTGCTGGCGGTTAGGCGCAGGATGGTGTTTTCCAGGTGTGCCCCGCAGGCTGCATGGCCTTTGTTCAGCTTGACCCTGGTCCAGGGGTCTTGACCCTAGAGGTGTCCCTAAAGGCTGCTCACCTCCCTGTCGCAGGCTTTACCCCGGGCTTGCCCTGCCTGGGCCCCTCCTCGTCCATCTCCTCCCTTCCTGAAATCTCGCTGTTTTGGGACCTTTTTATGAAGGCGTGTTTTGGAGGGAGACCTTGGGCCGAAGGAGCAGTGGGGACCTGGGAGGGACCAGAAGGGCAGCATGTGAATTGTCGGGCCTCTGCTGCCCCCTGGTGGTCAACTGGCTCGCAGGTAGCCCGCAATGGGGCCGGGAAATGAGCGAGGCTGGTTTTGTCTTGCTCCCGGGTTGTGTCCCGTTCCTGCCGCAGTAAGTGACCTGTGTGTTGTTGAGGCACCGCCAGCTCGGGTCGAGGGTCGTTTAAAGCAGCAGCCCAGTGGATCTGGGGGCGAAGGGGCAGTTCCTCCATCCAGCAGCCTCCTCCGAGACCCCCAGACAACTTCTGCCCCGTCCCTGAACCGTCCGCTCCGAGCTCGCCTTGGGAGTGTGTCACTAAGTGCTTTCGCCTCATTCCTGTGCCCCCGCCCGTACCGTTACCCATCCTTGGAAAGCGCCTGGTGTTTCAGGAGGAAGGGGTGTGGCGGAGCCCACAGGTAGTCATTTCATCCTCTCTCGGCCCTGAGAGGTGGGCGACATCATTACTCCCATTTTCCAGATGAGGAAACCGAGGCTCAGAGAGGCCAGGAAGCTCCGTCACAGACTCACACTCCACTTCAGGGCCCCCTGCTTCCCCTGGCAGAAGGTTCTAGAGTGGGCACAGCCCTGCGGGGTAGGGGGTACAGGAGGAGGGCCAGGGGTGTGGAGGGCAGAGCCCAGGCAAGAGGCAATTTAAATGAAACTGGACCACCTGAGGGCTTGGCTTGGCAGAGGCTCATGGGCTTTTCACAACCCGGCCCCACCTGCACGGACTCCCGAGCTGCAGGACCTGGGCAGAGATGGGGTAGACTGTGCCCGGGGAGGACCAGGCACGGACTCCCGAGCTGCAGGACCTGGGCAGAGATGGGGTAGACTGTGCCCGGGGAGGACCAGGCACGGACTCCCGAGCTGCAGGACCAGGGCAGAGATGGGGTAGACTGTGCCCGGGGAGGACCAGGCACGGACTCCCGAGCTGCAGGACCTGGGCAGAGATGGGGTAGACTGTGCCCGGGGAGGACCAGGCACGGACTCCCGAGCTGCAGGACCTGGGCAGAGATGGGGTAGACTGTGCCCGGGGAGGACCAGGCACGGACTCCCGAGCTGCAGGACCTGCGCAGAGATGGGGTAGACTGTGCCCGGGGAGGACCAGGCACGGACTCCCGAGCTGCAGGACCTGGGCAGAGATGGGGTAGACTGTGCCCGGGGAGGACCAGGCACGGACTCCCGAGCTGCAGGACCTGGGCAGAGATGGGATGGACTGTGCCCGGGGAGGACCAGGCACGGACTCCCGAGCTGCAGGACCTGGGCAGAGATGGGGTAGACTGTGCCCGGGGAGGACCAGGCACGGACTCCCGAGCTGCAGGACCTGGGCAGAGATGGGGTAGACTGTGCCCGGGGAGGACCAGGCACGGACTCCCGAGCTGCAGGACCTGGGCAGAGATGGGATGGACTGTGCCCGGGGAGGACCAGGCACGGACTCCCGAGCTGCAGGACCTGGGCAGAGATGGGATGGACTGTGCCCGGGGAGGACCAGGCACGGACTCCCGAGCTGCAGGACCTGGGCAGAGATGGGGTAGACTGTGCCCGGGGAGGACCAGGCACGGACTCCCGAGCTGCAGGACCTGGGCAGAGATGGGATGGACTGTGCCCGGGGAGGACCAGGCACGGACTCCCGAGCTGCAGGACCTGGGCAGAGATGGGGTAGACTGTGCCCGGGGAGGACCAGGCACAGAACGGCACCAAGGGGCCTTTCCGTTTGACTTCTCTGCCCGCCCCCTCAGCCCAGGCGAGGCCACGCGCCCCCTTGCACAGGTCTGCTGTTAGTGACAGCTGTACCGTATGTTCCCTTGTCACCAGACGAACCCTAAGACTGCCTCCAGCTTCGGCCCCAGCCACGGCCAGCGTGCTGGAGGGTGCTGTGGGCACCTGGGCCACTCCCCGCAGCGTCCCCCGCGTCCCCAGAACTAACCGCTGTCCTCGGGCTGTGGTGTGTCACTGTGCTGTGTGCTGCTGTCTCTGGGCAACGTGTGGTTCCGTTCTGCTGGCTCTTGAACGTGGTGGAAACAGGAGCCCGCGGTCTGCGTCTGTGTGTCCCCGTGTGTTCCCTGAGCAGACCCCCGGCTCCAAACCTGCCCTGTTCTGCTCCCCACCCTCCCGTCCCAGGACACCCTCCTCTTCCCAGGACAGGAGAGCCCCCGGCCCACCACGCCGCTTCTCACCGCAGCTCTGTCCCTGTCGTAGCCTGGTTACCGTGCCGTCCCCTGGCTCCTCCAGGACCTCTGGAGAGCAGGAGCCGAGCAGTCCTGCCACCGTAGTGTCCACAGCGCCAGGGTGCACAGTGCTCCCCTGTGGAACAGCGGCCCCCTCTCCCTGCCCACCTCCCTGAGGCTCCTCTTGGCTGGGGGGGGGGGCAGGGCTGGGGGAGGGGCTCCGAGTGCCATTAAAGCCCTGTGTCTCCTCCGCAGTCGAGAACACCGCACACTGTGAGTTTGCCTACCTGCGGGACCTCCTCATCAGGTGAGACAGCCCTGCTGGGTGGCTGACGGGATCGGTGTGGGAGGTGCGTGAGGGGGTCCAGGCAGCAGCAGCCCGCCTGCCTGTCCGCCCCCGGAGGCCCTGGGAAGCCCTGTTTCGGAAACACCTGGGGAATAAAGCAGAGGGGACACCGGGGGGGAAGGGCTGGTTCCAGTCGGTGTGGCCTGAGCCCGTGAGATGTGGGGGCGCCCCCAGCTCCCACCCGCATCTCTAACCCCGCTCTTTGACCTGGCTGAGCCTTCTCCTGGTTTCCTTGAGCCCAGACAAGGATGGGCCCATCCTCAACCCGTTAGAGAGGGTGCCAGGGGGTGGATGGAGGGGGCGGGGCTCCAGCTCTCAGCCAGCAGGTGGGTGGATGTTAGGGATAAAGTCAAGAGGAGGGACACCCCGTCTCTCCGGGGCCTCCAGGTTGGGGGACGTGTTGGAGAGCCCCCAGGCCCCTCGGGCTCCCTTCCCACATCTGTCCTGTTGATGACAGAGGAGGGAGACTCTGACCCAGGACTAGCAGGGTCAGCCAGCACTGCACCGGGGCCATGGGCGCCCACTGCCCCTCACTGCCAGCACCCGGCCGCCGGCCTGGCCCTGCCCACCTGAGTCTGTACCCAGACCCTGTCTCTGGACTGGCCACAGGCTTGACCCATTCAAACACAGGTGTCCTGAGAGGGTTTGGGGTTGCCATGGAGACCGCCTCTCTCCTTTGCCCAGGCCTGGTCGGACTTGGGTCTAAATCGCCCTCTGGGGGAGCCCAGCAGTGGGGTTGGGGTGGGAGGGCGGCGGGAGGCCTGGGCCGGGCACCGCCTGGCGCGCCCTGCCACCTGTGCCCTCCGGTGCCCCCAGGACACACATGCAGAACATCAAGGACATCACCAGCAGCATCCACTTCGAAGCCTACCGCGTGAAGCGTCTGCACGAGAGCAGCATGTCCAACGGCGTGGAGGACAAGGAGCCGGGAGCCCCGCAGATGTAGGCGCCGCCTGACCCAGGACCCAGCCCCCGTCCCCCCGCCCCCCCCGCCCGCCCACCTGCCCCGTTTCATTTTATATCACTTACTCCGCGCGTCATCGCTCTGCCCCTTCCCGCGATGCCAAGGACCGATGAGTGCCCGCGTCTGAGCGTCACTGGCCCACCACGGTGGGCACCTGGCCGGCCCTGAGGTCTGGGGAGGCTGGACCGGCCAGGAGGGCGGGAGAGGACCCGCCCCACCCCCGCTGCCTCAGCCCCGGGAGCATGCTGGGGGTGTGCCCAGGGGGTGGGGCCCCTTCCTGCCTCCACCTCCCTATGTGGTGTGGGCATCACTCAGACCACGTAACTCAGAGACCCCCCTCCGCCCCTTGACCCCCCCAAGGGGAGAATAGTTAATTCCATGAGACGCAAGTTGCCAATTGCTTAGACGTGGCCAAGCCCACCGGCTGCCGCCCGCCCTGTTCTGGAGCAGAAAGTGCCTTTCTCTCGACCGTCCACTCAAGCCCAGACTCCCCGCTGTCCCGGGTGGGAAGGGGGGCAGGTCGGAGAGGGAGGTGTGCCTTCCTCTCCCTGTCGTCCCCTCTCACCCCCTCTCACCCCCTCTTGCTGGGATTTGATTAAGGATTCAAAGGACAAAGATGCACCCCCGCCCCCTGAATTCTGGGAAGGTCCGGCAAGGGAGTCTGGTGGGGGAGTCGGAGGAGGTGATGGCAGGTGCCCGGAGGAAGGGGCTGTGTGGCCCGTGGCTGGGCTGTTCAGAGCGGCCCGGTGGCCTTGGTTCCTGCCCTGCCTGCCCCGTGTGACTGGGCACGTATGCTTGTGTGTCTGTCTGGACATCCCTGTGGCCCGGTCGGCCACCCAAGTGCAGGCGGAGCCCTCCTGGCCCGGCCTTGCGGGCACTGCGACCTGGGAGGTGGGCGGCCAGCCGAGCCTGACTCTCTGTTGCCCTGAGTGTGCCTGGTCCCTCACCCAGGGCCCATGGAGACGCCCCTAGAGGGAAAGGCCAGGAGTCTGGTCGCCAAGCCCCCAGCTGGCTGCGGAGTGGGCTGCACGTCAGCCCGGCCCAGCTGGCCTCCTGGGCTCCCTCCCCTCTGTCCCCGAGAGGACCGGCAGGGACTGTCCACGCACACAGCGTGCTCCCCCTGCCGCCAGGAGAGGTGGGCACAGGTGGTGTGCAGACAGACCCGGGGGTGCAGACAGACCCGGGGCCGCAGCTGGTCCCTGGCGCGTGTGGGTGTCGTCAGCTGTGCGTGTTGGCCCCCACCTACCAGAGGAAGGACCCCTTCGTGAAACAGTTTACTTGCCGACTTGCCGTGTTTTTGCCAAAACCACGATTTTGAAGGACGTGTCCCCCTCCGGCATGGGGGCCGGGACGAGGGGCGGCCTTTCTGGTGGGCACACCTGCCACCCTCCCGGCCACGGGGGGCTCCGCCGCATCCGCCCCGGACGCCTTCGCTTTCCTTCTCCGCAGCCAGAGTTTGAAAAACCGTTAGTTTCACTGGGATGTGTTCCGCAGTGGCCTTTTGCTATGTGCCTCCTGAGAAATCCGTCTCTTTTTGTATAAATAACGAAGTGTTGGAAATGTATTTCCTGAAATAAATGTTCCAAATGCAAACCTGGAAGCCTCCGGAGTGGGGTTCTTCTCTCCGAACCCGGGGTGCGGGTCTCCCGATAAGAGTTAAGGTAGCAGTGTGTGGTGCCGGGGAGTTTTCATTTTATCTATTTATTTATTTATTTGGAGAGGAAGAGAGAGAGAGGTAGACACATCAATGTGAGAGAGAAACATCGATAGGCCGCCTCCTGCATGCCCCCTACTGGGGATCGAGCCCGAAACCTGGCCATGTGCCCTGACTGGAAATCGAACCGGGACCTCTCGGTCCCTGGGATGACGTCAATCCACTGAGCCACGCTGGCTGGGCAAGGAGCCCTGACTTTTATTTGGGGTTCGGTTTACAAAGAGTCTCACCTCCATGGTCCCTCTGAAGGGGACACGTCAGAGACTGCGGAGTTCGCTTCAGCAGTCTGGGGAAACTGAGGCTGCAGGTGCTGCTTTGGACAGCTCTTCTGTGCCACCCACCCCCCGGGGGCAGCCAGGCTGGAATCTAAAATGGTACCATGCTGGGCGTGTGGTGTCGGGGTGGAGAGTGTGGGCCTGTACACATGTGAGGCCCCAGGACGCATACGTGCCCCCGCAGCACACAGCGTGGGAACACACCGGGCCCTAACAGCCCGCCGGGCTGGGCCGTGGTTTGGGGTTCCCTCCTGGTTGGTGAGGCTGGGTTCAGCTGTGCTCTGGAATAGGGCAGAGGGGTGCTGACGGGGCGACTGTGTGGTGACCAGCCGTGGGATGAGCCCTCTGTGGACATGCGGGTGGTGGTGACACAGCATTACGACACCCCGCATTGCAAAACCCAGTAATGAAAAGCAGAGACAGCCATCAGAACACGTCAAAATGCTTAGGAAAAAGAACCCTTGACCGTCTGCAGACGTCTGCAGCCATGTTCTCAGCGAGTCGACCCTCAGAAAGGCTCGAGGAGGGTTGAGCAGTTCAGCTCGAGGCTCCTGGAGTTTTTCATCTAAATTTTCTTTTCCGGAAGGCTGGTTTCTTTAGGTGCTGTGCCCTCCCCTCTCCCCTTAATTTTTTGCAGGCCCTTGGACTGCATTCCTTTGCAAAGGTCATCAAAGGGCAGTGTTTTTGGATCCTGGTTCTTCCACTTAACAGCTTAACCTTGGGTGACTTAACGTTGGTCTGTGCCTCAGTTTCCCCACATGTAAAGCGATGGTAAACTGCCTAACACATAGGACGGTTGTGAGTAGATATGAGTGGGTTCATGTAAAGCATTTTAATAGCGTCTGGTCAATAATGACAGTTCCACAGACGTTAGCCATCATCACCTCCATCGTCACCACTGTTACAGGCTGCATATTCGTGTTCCCCCCAAATTCAAATTTATATGTTGAGGCACTACCCCCCCCCCAGTATGATGGTATTTGGAGGCAGGGCTTTTGCGGGGATTAAATTTAGATGAAGTCCTGAAGTTGGGGCCCTCGGGATGGGATTAGGGCCCTTTTAAGAAAAGGAAGAGACAGGAGCTCTCCGCCTGCATGCGCCCAAGAAAGGTCATTTGAGCAGAGTAAGAGGGGGGCTGTCTAGCTGTCCAGGTTCTCACCAGGAACTGAATGTCAGCACCTTGGGCTTGGACTCCCGGCCTCTGGAACTGTAAGAAATAAATCTCTGTTCTTTAAGCCATGCAGTATTTTGTTATAGCAGCCCAAGCAGACTGCCAGTCACCATCATCATCATCCTCACCACCACCATCATCATCATCACCCCCATCACCATTATCACCATCATCATCACCATCATCATCTCCATCACCATCCTCACAACCACCATCATCACCATCCCCACTATCACCATCATTATCATCCCCACCACCATCATCATCATCATCACCACCACCATCATCACCACCCCCATCACCATTATCACCATCATCACCATCATCATCCCCACCACCATCATCATCATCACCACCATCATCACCACCACCATCATCCCCACCACCATCATCATCATCACCACCACCATCATCATCACCCCCATCACCATTATCACCATCATCACCATCATCATCTCCATCACCATCGTCATCCCCACTATCACCATCATCACCACCATCACCACCATCATTGTCATCACCATCATTATCATCATCATCAACATTCTGAAACTAAAATAAAGAAAAGGATCCTGCTTTGGCCTCATCTTGCTCCTCTGCCCTGGAGCCAAAAAGAACAAATCAACCAGAAATTGAGGGCAGAGCTGACATCAAAGCTGAATGCCCTGCAGTGCCCTCTGCCCCACTTTCTGCTGTCCAGGCCTGTACACACATGCTGTCTGCCTTTCCCACGAGATCTTTTAATGTCTTTATGATAAGTAACTGGAAGTCCTTGCCTAATAATTCCGACGTCTCAGCCATCTGTGGGTCTACTTCTATTGATAATTTTTCTCTTGACTGTGGGTCACGTTTTCCTGCTTCTCTGCATGCCTTACAATTTTTTATTGACCTCAAATGTTGTTTGTGTGTAGAAAAACAGCAGTGTGTAATATAAATATATTTCTCCTGGAAAAAGAACATGCCCCCTCCTCCACTGGGCCATTAGTGTGAGGGCTGAGTCAGTCTAAGAGGGGTCTGGGCTTTGGTTCATCTCACCACTGCAGGTTGGGTTAGGCCTTTCCCTTACGTGCTCAGGACAGAAGAGGCCATCATGAAAATCTTAGTGTATGTGTATACGAAAAAGGTAGGTGGTACATGCCGAAACGTATCCGGCAGGTCCGGAGGCCCTGAGGGTGTGGACATGGCGTGTGGAGGGTGAGAGCTATGGAACAGGAGACCGTCGGTGTGCAGAGGTGGGGGGTCCTTCTCAAGGATGAGACGTCCTTGGAGCGTTTGATGGTGCAGCCGTGAACAGGGAAGAGCAAAGGCTGTTAGCCTGGTGAAGGGCCCTCTCCGCGGAACCCCCCGGGCCTCAGAAGACCCTGCAGACGGTCTCAGGACCTCACATCTGCTGGCCACAGGCCACTGCTGTTTCTGCACATTTGAAAAATGCTACCATCCCAGCTCCAAACCCCACCACGTGGGGGCTTTGTTCCTGCAGGGGAATTCGCCAGGCCTCTGCATCCCAGCTTCACCCGCAAGGGGGGCCCCCGCCGGCCCCCACTCAGCTCCCTGCCAGACTTTCCACAGAGCTTTTTGGCTTTTGGCAGCTCAAGACCGCCTTGGAAAACCGAGGAAGCCGAGGGGGTGTGTGTCTAATAAAGTCGGAGCTCTGTAATTTAGCAATTATTGTAACCCACACTTGTAATTTAGGGGGTTTCTCGTCATTCTCCGTACTTGCTCCTTCGTAAAAACTATGCAGTTTGGGATAGCTTCGTCTTCGATGCTCGGGGGCTGGTGTTTGCCACCCCTCCCCCTCTTGGCAGCTGCAAAGCTCTTGCACGTGTGCAGACCTCGTTTGTCCCGCTTCTCAGGGATTAAAGGGGACTGCGCTGTGCGGCAGCCCCCACAGACACGGAACCTGCTCTGCACGCCTTCCGGGCTCCGGATCCAGTCCACGCCCGTGGGGACGGCAGCCACTGAACGCCGTCGTCTCCCCGCCACCCGGCTGTCACGGTGCCGGTCTCGCGACGGCACCTTCAGAATGCCACTGCTGCCCCGTCTTCATTCCTGTGCCACCTGTGTGCTTATTTCAGAAGTGACGTTTTGACACCCTCCCGGCGCCAGGCATGATACCGCCTGTGGGGAACGTAAGTCATAAAAGACAGGACATCCTCTCCCGGAGCCTGTGGTCTGGTGGGGAGACAGACGATGGGTATTAACGACAGTGCAGGCCCGAGTTGGCGCAGAGGCCGTGGGAGCCGAGGGCACAGCCCCGCAACCAGACAGCGTGGGAAGAAGCCACGTGAGCGGCAGTGGGGGTGAAGGGGTTGCAGACGAAGCGTGGTGCGGAGCGGCCCTGGCCGAGGGATGGTGAGCGTTCCAAGGGCACAGCCTGTTCACGGTGGGGAGCGGAGGCCCGCGGAGGCCCGGGCCTGGCGGGGGATGGTGAGCGTGTTCAGAGGGCACAGCCTGTCCGCAGTGGGGAGCGGAGGCCCGGGCCTGGCGGGGGATGGTGAGCGTGCAGAGGGCACAGCCTGTTCACGGTGGGGAGCGGAGGCCCGCGGAGGCCCGGGCCTGGCGGGGGATGGGCTGGACCTTGGTAGCTGAGCTGCTGAAGACCCCTGCAGGTTGGCGCCCCACTGGATTTGCACGGGGAACAGCTGTGTCCGGAGATGCCCTCTGGGCACTAGGTCCGCGGCTGCGGTCCAGTGCAGGAACCGCAGGTCCCTCTCATGCGGCTTTAGGAGCTGGACACGAGGCCTGAGGAAGTGAAACTTCTAACAGGAGAAGTGAGGTTTTAATTTGATTTAAAATTTAATCTTGCCGCCCTGGCCGGTGTCGCTCGGTTGGTTGGAGCGTCATCTTGTGCACCGAAAAGATGTGGGTTCGGTTCCCGGTCAGGGCACATGCCCAGGTTGCGGGTTCAATCCAGTCTGGGAGAGACCAGGAGGCAGCAGATCCTCTCTCTCTCTCTCTCTCTCTCTCTCTCAACTCAACAAGCATGTCCTCGGGTGAGGATTAAAAAATAAAATAAGATTTTATTTAAAATAAAATGGCCAACGTATGGGACGGCGCGGGTTCAGGAAGTGCACTGTATCAGTGCAGAGACGGCCGGTGTGGGTGAGGGCGGGCGGGGAGCCAGGCAGGCAGCTGAGACCAGGCGGGGGGCACTGGGAATGGGCACCAGGCGGGGGGCCCTGGGAATGGGCACCAGGCGGGGGGCACTGAGAATGGGCACCGGGGGGGGCACTGAGAATGGGCACCAGGCGGGGGGGGCACTGAGAATGGGCACCAGGCGGGGGAGCACTGAGAATGGGCACCAGGCGGGGGGGGCACTGAGAATGGGCACCAGGCGGGGGCACTGGGAATGGGCACCAGGCGGGGGGGCACTGGGAATGGGCTCCAGGCGGGGGGGGGGGCACTGGGAATGGGCACCAGGTGGGGGGCACTGGGAATGGGCACCAGGCGGGGG